GCATTTGTGCGCTGGAATCGACGCGGGGACGGCTCAGTTCGCCAATGACGGCGTGGATCGGCGGATACCGAGGCAGTAGCATCATCAGAATGAAGAACGACTCGGAGGTGTCCACCTAAGGTTACTAATGATCCCGTGGGCACCGTAGAATACATATGGAGCGGCCAGTCTGAATTAAAATCGCTCGGGCTATAGCAACGCGGGCTACCTACCCTTCTCTTCTCCTATGATTAATGGAGAGTTCACACTCAGAATGCACACATAGGATAATTAAGGGGATATATTCCGGCCACCGAGTCTACGTATAGTTTGAAGGATGTAACGGGTGGAGAGTTCGTCAGCGTCGTTCATTGATTTCGCAGCATTTAGGTCTATTTATATACGTTCCAAAGAAACGGAAGCTCCGATGATTCATAAGTTGTTGTGAGCATGTGATTATGCGAGATCATTTGAAATCAAGTTGATTGCACACGCCAGAAGAACATCGATTACAAAAATATTCCGACGTTCGTGTGTGCGAAATAAACTTTCTATAAATAGAAGCGATCGTGTAAAAAAATTTATAAGTCATTTCAACTTTCAATAATTTCAATAAATATAATTGCGAAATTAAACCAACTGATAATGTGATGTGAGAAATAATTTTGACGAAATCATAGATATCTGCAAAAGAAAGAATATCACTGCAACTTCAAAGAAAGCGTTTGCGAATTTATCGTTTTAAATATAACTTAAATCTCATGCCACATATGTTATCGCGCTGCAATATGAATGAGAAAAATCTGCGAAGGTCTGTTCGTTTCGCTAAGAACACCCGGTACAAACCATCTGCGCGGCAAGCTTTAAGATCCGTCGCATCATGCTACGTAGAAAGGGTGTCCTAATCATTAATTCAAGGATTAGGCGTAAACAAACGATGATTTGATAACGTCCAGAGAAGCGGAGCCGCCTCTTACCGGCTACCGGGCGCGGCTCGGCGGGGTCCAATGGAATCTCCACTTGATCCGTTCACGCACTATGCGTGCTGAAGGAGGATGGCGAACTCGCATAGGTACAGGTGGTATATCCGCTCGTTAATTATGTATACGACCTCGCGAGAATTACGATCAATTAATTCTCGCCGATGTCCATCCGCTGGCGAGAAACGAACGAGTCGGTGTGCACTTTTCCTCGCGTTACGTTTCTGCCGCACCTTAGCACGCGGATGTAAATTAAGCCCCATCATAGCGCATTAGTTTGATAAGAGATCGTTAATAAATAGTGCGTTCATAGAAGTTAATTTGCGCGATGAAGTCTTCGATTATCACATACGCAGCTATTTACAAAAATTGCATAATGTACAGATTTTATAGAAATTATATTTTTTATTTTCAAGTTAAAAGATCGATCGCTCAATATTTTTGTATCAAAAAACTTATTCTTCTTATTATATAATTTTTTATTAATAACAATTGCAACGCGGGTTAAGATAATGAATTCAGTCAATCTTCTCGATGCGTTCGAACGTGAGAGAGCAAATAATGTAGCGCGATGAGTTTTACCAGCGTTCCAATGAACACAACATTAATTGCGAGGTGGGCCGGAGGCGGTAACGCGGCGGAATTTATAACCCGCCTAATCTGTGACAAATTGGTCGGGAAAAAAGTAAACTCCGTCTATACGAACATCACTCACACTCGCGGGCGGAAAACCATTCCCCGAGCGCGGTGGCATCGTTGCGCGCCGTCGGCGGATCTCAGGATGTCGGAACCGGCGAATAGGGAGGGGTTGGTTTCCAAAGGGGGTGGTACAGGCCACCGTAACCGAGAGGTAGATGGGGGCTCCGGATGGCGATGGCCCGCTCGTTGGCTCGTGGTAGTGTGTACGGGAGCGAAAAGAGCGCCATTCTTTTGTAAGAAGCTCACATAAATTGCGACACCCAAGAGTTAAAAGCAGTCTTAAATTACGTGCCGTCGACTCCTTGATGAATTGAGTGCTCCCACCTTGCCCTCCGTCGCGTCCCACCCCCGCGCTCTC